GAGCATGTTCCAGTCCACGAAAAAATTGTTTGTAACAAAATATCGATTTCTGCTGTCCCTGTATCGATACATTATTAGCAAACAAAATATCACGATACTAAACAGTATCGATTTTTTCCCCCACCCCTACTAGCTAGCTTGTTAATAATGTATTGAAATGTAAAACAGTCACTGCAGAGGTGCATGTTCGTGGCAATCCTCAGCACTCTGTCACCATGGTTCTTAAAAAAATAAAAAAAACACTACTTTCTCTCACCATTACTGGGAAATATAACTCCTCATGACCACATCATCATAGGTGGTAACCATAACCCTACCTTAGCCTAAAGCGTTGGAGCAAGGCAAAACTGACTTTTTAAAAAAAAACCATATCAATGCTTTGATTTTCTCAGTTTGAATAATTGTTTTATTATGATTGCACAAGTGTTCATGCTTTAAAAAAAAGCTGTTGTAAGTAGGAAAGCTTCTCAAGCTGTAACATAGAAAAGGAGCTTTGGTCAGAGTGGTAAATGTGCTGATGCAGAGCTGAGCTGGGGCCGGGTGGGGTTGGTGATGCCACAGGTTAAATTTAGCTCAGCGGCTTGCAGTGAAAGGATGGCAATGGAGGGGTTTGAGCTTTTTAGCCATAGCAACATCTGTGACAAACTGTGCAGTAATTGAGTTGACACTGACCTGCAGGGACTGGCTGAACTCCCAGTCACTGTGATTTCTGTGGATGGGTTCTGGACACATGCAGAGCACAGTGTACAAGAGAAAAAGAGCTGGGAGAAGACCGATCCCACACCACAGGGGGACCCTGGGTAAACGTCTGTCAAACATCAGGTTTATGGTTATATTGCTAGAGGCATCAACCGAGCCTGGTTTCACCTGGCACACGCTGCTTTCTGGTTCCCTCTGATGGTTCATTTACATCACAGCATTTTCCACACAGTGTTTGCCTCTCGACAACCCCAGGCGATACTCTAATTTAGCTATTGTGCTAATCTGAATTGCAGTAATTTGTTGCTTTTAAGAGATTTAGTGTTTCTCTGTCAAACCTGGCTGCAGCAGAATGTGGGAAAGATTTCAAAATTCTTTTGATTTCATCAGGAGGCAGCTCTGAAGTTCGAAAACACAACTAATATTTGTCTATGTTCTTCATTATTCTATCCATGGTTTGAAAGCTTAACCTTTATTCTTCTAAACATATCTCTTGTCATTGTGGTTGAATAGCTCAGTCTTAAAGCTTTTCCCCAGAAGGCTTTTGGCTTGTCCATGTGGACAACTGCAAATTTCAGTTGAACCTGAAGTTATTAATTTCATAAGCATGGACTTTTTCTTTGGTCGACACTCTTTCTTAGTTCGTGGTAGCGTAAACAGCTGGAAGGCCAGTGGACTGTGGACAGCGACACTGCCCTTCCAGCAGTTTCCAGCTCTTGGTAGGCTTGATCTTGTTGGTTCCTGGTTTGTTCCTGAACATCCTAATCAATTTTGTCTTTACATACAATTCTTTGAACCGATGGTCTGCACCTGTTTAGAAATGGCCCATTGAGTTTCTGGAATGGTCTTCCTAATGCCCCAAACTCAACCCTATTTTAAATGTGTGGGCTGTGCTTAAACGCCAGTTCTGTGCCAGGAAAACAACAGTTTTTATATACCAATTCTGCCAACAAGGGTCATTAAATATCCATCCAAAATAATGCAGAAGCTAGTTGAGGGGCAGGTTTCTAAGGGGCATTAAACCAAATAATAATGTACGTATACATTTGAAAATGTGCGTTTACTTGGATTAGAGAAAAGTCAAAATAAGTTCAAACTTGTGGGCCTAATTCTTGTTTTATTTTTTAAAAGATTAAAGATGTACCCTGGACAGTCAAACTGGAAAAGAACAGTTCAAATAAATGACACTGTGTATTATCATCTTGAAAAAGAATATATGGATAACAAAATTATTCTTCTTTTGATGCCAAAAGAAGCCAGAGCTCCAAAATGATGCTCTAAACATTAGCAGTACGGTAAGTATAAAATTAAGAACATTAAAAATGAGAAATTAGTGAAACATTAGGAATAACACTGATTATCTCTTCTTCGTGGAATCTGTTAGTGGGTGCATTTAAGAAGTGAACATTTTGTCTTTAAAAGCAGGAAAAACTGGTGAATGTAAGGATTTGAGAGAGTTTGATTAAGGCTGAACTGTGCCAGCTCAATAACGAAGTCAGAGTATCTCCAATGCTGCCACTCCTGTGGCGTGTTCCTGGCCTGCAGTGGTCAGCATCTATCAAAAGTAGTCCAAGGAAGGAAATGGGGTGAACCAGAGACAGGGACATGGGCAGCCAAGGCTCACTGATGTACACAGGGAACAAAAGCTGGCCCATATGGTCTGATCCAACATCTACTAAAGCATATATAGAATACACAGTGCATCACAGTTTGTTGCGAATGGGGCTGAATAGATGCAGACCAGTCAGGCTGCCCATCCTGACTCCTGTCCACTGCCCAAAGTGCCAGCAATGGGCAAGCGAGCATCGGAACTGGACCCCAGCACAAGGAAGAAGATCGGCCTCATCTGATGAATCACTTGTACATCACATGGATGGCTGGGTGTGTGTTGTTTGTTGTGTTGGAGGAAGCAAGCAGTGTGATGCTTTGGGCGATGTTCAGCTGGGAAACCTTCATCATTGTGGATGTTACTTCAACTCGTACCGCCTAGCTAAGCTTTTTTGCAGACCATGTACACCCTTTCATGGAAACAATATTCAGCTGGATAATGCAACCTGTCAGAAAGCAAAAGTGTTCAGGAAGCTTTGAGGAGCACAGCGAGGTGTTGATTTGGACTCCAGATTTCCCTCAATCCATTCGAGCATCTCTGGGATGTGCTGGACAAACAAGTCCACGGGGGCCCCACCTCACAGCTTACAGGACTCTGTTGCTAACATCTCGGTGTCAGATACCACAGCACACCTACAGGGGTCTAGTGGAGTCAATGCCTCAATGGGACAGTGCTATTTTAGCAGCAAAAAGGGGACCAACACAATGTTAAGCAGGCGGTCATAGTGCTAATCGCTAGCTCTTACCACTTGACTTCTGTAAGTAAATGCTGCCACTAAGTACGATCAGGGTAAGATCGGCTGTCTGTTTGTTGGCACCTGTAACTCAGAGTAGCTGTGTCATTCAGAAAAGATGAAAGAAAACAAGGCAGAGTAGTCGGGTTGTGTCGAATGGTTTAAAGTGGCCTGACAGTCATTAGTGCTGTGAAATAAGGCAGCCGTAGACACTGGTGCTCTTGTGTTTTGATGCACTCCATCAAATCTTATTGTGTCTTACAAATGATGTGAGTCATTCATTTAGTGAATTCGATTCAGTTGTAGTGAATCAGCGTAGCAAAATTTAAATGAGTGCGATTCAAATAGAGCCATCTCTCTGGCTTTAATGTCTTTCTGTAACACACTGTGTGTCTCCAAACGCCCTCGGTGTAAAATTATTTTTAGCCCTCTCACTCTGATGACGCCGACATAACATGCAGGGCCTCTGAGGCTCAGAGAGCCGACTCAGCCATGGTGAAGCTTTACACTTTCTTTGGGTTCGCTGATTGGCTGCTTTCCAGTTAGGCAGCCAACCACAGTCGAGTGGAGTGAGAAGCCTCTCAGGCTGTCTGTCTGAGGATTAGTTCCCTCTGTGTTATGTCAACACTGGGATCAAATTGTTGCTCAAATGGATTTTCCATGATAAAAGCATTACTTCTAAACTTTGTGCAGGTTTAAGGAGATTCTAAATGCATGTCATGTACAGTTGTACTATGGAGAGAGACTGAGTGCTTACTTGATTAGGGGAGGAGGTTTGTGTGTGGAGCTTTCTGTCCACGTTCATACTGTGCTTTTATTCGTTTAGTTAGTCACATGTGTACTTTTTGGCTTTTGACTGCGATGTAAAGCTTAAATTTTTAAATAGATGTATTTTAAAAAATGTCCAACTGGCAACTAGTGATATCACGAAGTACCAATGAAAACTGTAAATGTAGAGGATATACAGTATGCCAATGTGGCTTATGTGAACCCTAATGAACATGATCATGACATGCTTGGTCCTCAAGCATTGATTCCAAGGGGTAAAGCCCTACTCCAAAAGTAAGCTCTAAAAAAATACTGTACAGTCGTCCCTCGTTTATCGCGTTATTAAAAATAACCCACGATAGGTGAAATCCCCAAAATAGCCAACTTTATTTTTTACAATTATTATAGATGTTTTAAAGCTGTAAAACCCCTCACTACTCACTTTATACACTTTTCTCAGACAGACATTTTCACACTTTTCTCTCTTGTTTAAACACAAAGTTCAAACCATCCATCCATCTTGTTCCGCGTTATCCGGGGCCGGGTCGCGGGGGCAGCAGCCTAAGCAGAGAAGCCCAGACCTCCCTCTCCCCAGCCACCTCCACCAACTTATCCGGGGGAACACCAAGGCGTTCCCAGGCCAGCCGAGAGATATAATCTCTCCAGCATGTCCTGGGTCTGCCCCGGGGCCTCCTCATGGTGGGACATGCCCGGAACACCTCACCCAGGAGGCGCCCAGGGGGCATCCTTGTCAGATGCCCGAACCACCTCAGGTGGCTCCTTTCGATGTGGAAGAGAAGTTCAAACCTTCATGGAAAAAAAAGCCCAGTATTATAGAATGAAGCCAAAGATCAAACCCTGTTTTCAGGTCCAGAACATGGGAATAGAGCAGCTGCCAGAGAATTCAACATAATGAATCAATGGTACAGAAGTGGAGGAAGCGAGAAGAATGTGCATGTCTTTTTGTGCGATGGTTAGCAGCTTCCTCTGCCTGTTGGGTGCTACCGCAGAAGCCTTTGATGGTGCAAAACGTTTCGTCGACATTGTCGTGTTTGTTGGGGAGAAAACTTACAAACTTACAGTACAGCAGAGTCACACTGCTAGGATCAAAGATTTATGTAAATTTGACAAACTGAACACGTTCTGTACTGTACAGGAGACACGGCACGAGATTGATTACAATGGTCTACAGCCAATCAGGACGCAGAACACAATGTGTTGTTTAAAAAAAAAAGGATGCAAAATTGCACCAAAAAAATCAGCGAAACAGTGAAAGGTGAACTGCGTTATAGCGAGGGAGCACTGTATATCAAAGATTTCTGGACTCAAACTATGATTTTTTTTTAAGGCAGAAGTGATGATTTGTGGATGAGAGGGTCCAATTCTAGTGATCAGTCAGTGTCACGTCAGTCTAACTGACTGTTTTTGGAGACAGCCTGAAGTGGCCCCAGGAGGAACTGTAGTTTCTGGTACTTCTACAGTACTTCAGCTTATCAACCCCAGACTTTACTGCTAGTTCTGTAATACCTGTAATAATAATAACTGTAGCATTAAAGAGGAAGAGGAGCATCACAATATGCCTGTCGTCGTCCCTAACTAACGACAAACACGATTGTGTGCAAAGGTTTGTGCATGGACCCAGATAGAAGACACATGGGGGCCTAATCTGGACTTCTTTTGGCACAGCACTCGCAAGTCCTGTATCCAGGCCAGGCACAGGCCAAAAGCAATGAGGCAGGCTTTACATGGGTTACATGTGTTATATGGGCCAGATGCAGGCCAGATGTAGAACTGACCCATGTAAGGAGCACCTATATCCATACTGTAGGACCTTGGGCTCATCAAGAGTCTTTAAACTCCATTTTGGGGCCTTTGTAGTTCCTCCTTTAGGGCAGGTGCGCTTCAGCACAATAAGATCCTTTTGTTTATGTAAGTAATTGTACACATGTGCGTATCTATTTGTCTAGACTGTAGTTTGTAAGTTTATACCTCTTGCTGTTTCCAGGGCAGGCAGGGCGGGGTGGAGATCTACCCCTGGGAGGATGCTGATTACAGCATCTACAAAGTCATCGACCGTTTCGGCTTCATGCAGTAAGTCTGTCTTCAAAGTAAAGTCATGCCGGTTGGTACCACTCTGCCCTGTTTTGTTGCATCTCATCATTTGTTTCTCTTCATTCTTCCAGTGAAGATGAGCTGCCGGCACCAACTGCACATGAAGAGAAGGTAAAGAGGCAAATGCCACATTTCTTTCAGGACAAATGCATGCAGTAGGTTGTTTTTGTTCACCAGCTTCTTTTACTTTCATAGCTGAAGCAGCAGGAGATTGAGAGAGCAGAGAAATGGCTGAAGATGGTGAAGAAGTGGGATAAATACAAGAACAGTGACAGGGTGAGTAACAGTTTGCACACGGAGCACATGGAAAATTCAGAACAGATTTATAATGACTTCATTGCTGCAGACAATTGCTGACAAACATGTAAAACTGCAGCTGGTTTCTCTGATGTCAGCGAGTTTTGTAACACAGATTGAATCACAGCAAGTGTCGGTGTTGAGTCCAGAACATATTCAGCTCAAATGTACTCCCTCATTAAGAATTCTGAATCAAAGCTTCTCACCAGAATATAAATCACACTAGGAGAGGAAAAAACCTACAATCTTCTCTCCATCTCGATAATGATGTCCTCATACAAGCTTCTGGCAAGTGTCCCCATAAGTCTCACAAGCAGTCATTAGCAATAACAATTTTGCTGAAAAAATGATGAAATCAGATTTCTTATATGCTAATTTCATGTTTCCATTATACTTTTTAAAATGTATTAAAAAATCCCATTGTACAACGCAGAGGTTGGGTTCTGACACTCTGCAGTTCTGGGTTAGTTTCTTTGGTTTTGCACCGACACTCTTCCTCACTAAGACGATGTGCGTCCTTGTACGGGATGTGGAAAGGTGGAAAATTAGCTTGACTGGTTCCGACCCTCTGGACAAACACCTACATTAGTGAGAGAGTTGCTGCTATGCTTATTGATCGTTGTTACTGTGGCTGGAAAATCAATAGACTCAACCAGAGCAGCTGAGTGTACATCCACCGTTAGCTTGGTCTCCACTAGTGTCAGTAAGTCATCCATCCGCTTCCAGTTATCCTTTTCAGGGCTGCAGGGGGTGCTGCAGCCTGTCCCAGCTGTCATAGGGAGAGAGGCGGGGCACACCCTGGACAGGTCGCCAGTCTGACACAGACAGACCATTCACGCTCACATTCGCACCTGTGGGCAATTTGGATTAATCAATTAACCTATCCCCACTAACTGCATGTCTTTGGGGAGGAAGCCGGAGTACCCAGAGGGAACCCACGCAAACAGGGGAGAACATGCAAACTCCACACAGAAAGACCCCGGCCTGATGGTGGAATTGAACTCAGGACTTCTTGCTGTGAGGCAACAGTGCTAACCACCGTGCCACCGTGCTGCCTAAATTGTTCATAAATAATAAATCTCTGTGTTATTCTAAGGTCTTTACCATAAAATATAAAGCATCTTGCAGTAACTGTTTTGGTATTTGGTGCTATATAAATAAAACTGAACTGAGTTCAGTTCAGTTTGATCCATCATTGAGCATTTCTGTCATCTGTCTTTGTTAAAAACATGAAACATTATCGTGCTCGAAGCATGAATTTGAGCTCTTTGTTAGCCTAACGCTCTCTTTTAAAGTCGTCATTGAGCTCGTTCTAGTTGTAATTCTAGTTTCCTTTTCCAAATGACTGAATAAATAATACAATATGTACAGTTCCACCTGACTAAAGCTGCTGACAGTAGTCTCTGTTCTGCTCTGCAGCTGTGGTGAACTCTGTGTAGTGGCAGCAGATCTCTGACTGCTGTGGATTCTGGTTCAAAGAGCCACCAGTTTACAGCAGATCCCTAAAGCAGAACAAGCACTTCTGTCACCAGCTGAAGTCTACAAACTCAACAAAACTCTGTGCTATACACCAGCACAACACCAAGCTGACCAGTTTACTCAGAGGCAGCACATTAGTGTATAAGGACCAGAGTTAGTTGGTTAGCAGTGACTGAACAAAGTCAGGGCTGGGAGGCTGCAGGAGTAAATATCATGTTGCTGTCTCGGAAAGATGGAAAAATAATAATAAATCATTAAAAAATATAGTTGTGCAGCCTGTCTAAGTAAAAAAAACAGAGTAATCAGAAAATTGTAAAAATCTGTAGCTAGAAGTGTAAAGTGCTTTATGAATGTGTGGCTAAAATGTGACTTGTAGTCTAAAGCACTTTGAGTGGTCAGTGAGCTGAGAAAAGCACAAGTACATCAAATACATACACAGCAATGAGAGCAAGCAAGGTGGATGAACTGTGTGTGGCAGGCAGGACTGGACCCGAACACAGACTCACAGACACAGAGGAAAAAAGCAAAACAACAAACAGACTAAAACTCACGCTGAATACAATTAAGCATTAAGTCCAAAAGACAAAGCACTTGGCCCAAGACAAAGGATTGGGGGGGGGGGGTTTCCATGTTGATGAGTGGAGGTACTTGAGGTAGAAGTTGCAAAGCCAACCAAGTTAACAGAAACTGTACGGCAGAGAGATACTTACAAACCTGCTTCAAGTGCTCACGGAAAATGTTTTCAAACTTTTGGCTTTACTGTGAACGGGGTCGTAGGCGATCAGTAGGTGGTTTAACTTTCTGATGATTCAGTCTTTGTAGCTTCTGTTCTCTAAACTTTGTGGCGTTTTATTCACTCAGTGTTTATGATTCCCTCTGCTCTCTGCTGCCAGATGGTAAAACGAGTATACAAAGGCATCCCCCTGCAGCTCAGAGGCCGGGCCTGGGCACTGATGCTGGACGTGGACGGGGCCAAGAAGGAGAACGAGGGCAAATATGAGGTATTTATTCACGTCTGAAATGAGTCTCTTTGCAAATCTGTTCCGAGCATAAAAATAAGTTGGACATATAAATACATTTTTTAAAAAGCTGAGAGAAAAACATTGTTATAACTGTTATAAACTGTAGCTATGTTGTAAATGTTACAAGTCTAATGTAATAAAGTAAAAGTATAAAGTAGCATGTTTTTAAAAAAGTTAAAGCTATGAAATATCAAAGCTGACAGTCTGATCACCTGGCAGACTGATCTTAACTGACACATATTTGTAAAGATGGTCCACCAACCTGTAATCACATTTTCTCTGATAGACGAGATGTTTCAGAAAACTGATGAAACACATATAAACAGTTAGCATAATCAATAATAGATTCATTCTGACTGAATTTACAATATATATTCCCTGATATGTAAAACTTGTTTTTGTAGCTCTACTGAATGACACATTTGTCTTTCAGCACAGGTACCTCCACATGTCCTTGTTGACTTTTGTCTGTTTTTCACTCAGAAAATGAAGGAGCAGGCCAGGCTGTGCTCATCTGAGATCAAACAGATTGACTTGGACATCAACAGGACATTTCGAAACCATATCATGTTCATGGATCGCTTTGGAGTCAAGTAAGTTTCACTGTTGAGTCGGATTTCAGACGGATAAACGGCTCGGACTTTCTGTTCTCAAAGAATATTTATAACCGCCAAGCTCAGTGGTGGGATCCAAAGTTACAGAGACATATTTTCAAAGTACTGAGCAAATGATGTAACTTGCACATTAAAGAGGAATACAGTGTGAAAGCATACAGTTATCATATGCTTTCAGCAAAGTGTTAAGATTGTTTGGTCGCAGTGCTGATTATTAGGGCTGGGTATCGTCACTGATTTCTAGAATCGATTCAATTCCGATTCACAAGGTCCCGAATCGATTCGATCCACGATTCGATTTAATTCGATTTAATTCGATTCGATTTAAATCTGGGAAATTTTGACAGTCAGAAATATTATAATTCAGATCAGTACATTTACATATTTTTGTATCTATAAAAAGGAAGCTGACACACGCAAGACTTTATCACATGTGTAAGCGTCACAGCAGATGCTTTTGTGTCAAAGTAGCTGAAGATAAAACACAGAAAAACATGAAGGTTTTCCTGGCCTGGGATTTATAAAAATATTCTGCAGTACATCAAAAACGAAAGAAAACCATTAATCAACACATAAACATTACCTATGAAGTTACAGAGGTTTTATTAGAGACACGGCTAAGCGTTTTGCATTTTGCTTAATTTTAAAAAATTTGTTCAATATTGAACGGCAGAAATGAGGTTTACTTTTCAGAAGTAAGTAAAAGGGGGAAAAAAACAGCGGCCGACAGCCTGTAAACAACGGTAGACTTGTGCGTAACAAGCAAGCGAATAATGAAGAAGAGAGAGAGAGAGAGAGAGAGCTGTGCATGAAGTGTGATTTTTATCCTGAAAAGTCAGCAAAAGTCAGAGTGAATTCATGATGATGTTTATGTGAAGCGTAGTTTGGATCTTCTTTTGCTGCTGGTTCGGTCAATATTGTTTGGAGAGAGA